CCCTAGTGGCTCGACATGGATGTTCCGGCTCCCTTCGAGAGCTTTCTGTTGTGCCAGATTTATTTTTGGAGTTTGTTTCACCCCAAGTCCAAAGAGAATCAGTGGCTGAAGTTCATGTTATTCCAGTTCACCGTCCAAGCCCGCCAGTGGGAGGAGCTTCTTTTAGCCACAGGAGCCATGGGCCTTGGAAGCATGGTGGCTCATCTGCCTTATGAGAATAATCTACAGTAAAGCAGACTTTTGCTTAAATTTATAAACATTTTTGGGGAGGGCCAGACGGATGGACGAACCCACGAGGCCAGAAGCTGACAAGGCGGCCTCTCCTGGGCAACTCCAGCTAAAGGCCAACAAGGTGGTCTCCCCTGCAGAATTCTAGCCAGATGTCAACATGGTGGCCTCATCTCCAGAGCTCCAGCATGAGACCAACACATTGCTTTGTCATGTGTTTTGTTTTGGGTTGTGTCCTGTCTCTACCCTTGTTTTGTAATTGGTTGTTTCCCCTATGTGTCATCATTGTCATCGGCTGTTCTGTGTAGCCACATCTGATTACATTGTATATTTACACCCCTGTGTTTCTTTGTCTCATCATGAAGTACTGTTTCAGTGTTTTGCCGCCTGAGCCATGCCGAGATGTTTGATCTTTGTTCTTGTTTCATGGATTTGATCCTGCTTTCGTTTTTGTGTTTCCCATTTATGCCTAGTTTTACCTGTTTGTACATCACCTGAGCCACACCTATTTTGTTGGATTCTGCCTTTGTCTATCATTTTGGATTTGTCTGTCTACCATTCACATAAAAGCTTTTTACTGCATTTGAATCTGTCTCAATCCATTTGCACTCTCATGTTGCATAGACATGAAATTCTATATAAAAGTATTTAGTATATCTTTGTATCTATTTACAACTTAATAAATTAATATATACTTATATACTAAGTATATAAGGGGTTGGGGGTTCAATTCTCGCCTCTGCCCCCTTGAGTTGCATGTGGAATTGCTTCCCATTCCAAGTAACAAGCATGGCTGCTGATTACATCTCCCAGAACTTAGAGCAGCCTACAAACATGGCCGCCATGGACTACAACTCCCAAGTCACACACACATTCGCCCGTCCACACTCACCTGATTAATAATCATGCACACCTGGACTGAATTCCACCACAGTATATAAGGACACTTTTCATTACCACACATGCACAGTATATGTTCAGTGTGTTGTATCTGTAATACCAAGCCTTATTGTGCTTATATTGTTTCTGGTTATGACCATGATTCTGGTTCTTTGGTCTATGTATTTGTCTTTTGCTCAACTTATTTTTTTGTACATCGCCTGACTTGCCTGTATTGTGACCTTGATTCTACCTCATGTTTTGGATTCATTTGCCTGTTTCAAAATAAAAGCTCTCAACCACCAACTGTCACTGTCTCTGCCGCCTGACAATAAAATACCTAATATCTCTGATTTTCTCAGTGTATATTTTTTCTTTAAAAATCTTGAATGTTTAAAACGGGTTTGTGGCAATGTGTTCACCAATTCTTAATGCTTTATGGCAAACGTTTTCCAATAACATGCTTATTTAACTAACTAAATTGACCTCTAATCTTCTCACCATCTCCCACCAGTTGCAGCAAAGCAAGGTCTAGAGGTCGCTTCCAGCGTGAGTTTTTGTGCAGGGCGATGCCATATCCTGTAGTGGCAAACACCTTCCCTGAACCAATGGTCATCACTTTACAACCCTCATCTTTCCGTGCCATGTAGTTTAACACAGCTGCATCGTAGATAAAGGCATCCAGTTTGCTGTAATCAGAAAGCAGTAGAAAGTGGCATAGGATGATATGGGAGAAAATTATTAATTAATTGTTAAAAGTTTAGAGAGAGACAGAGAGAGATATAGATATAGTACAGTCCATATTCATTCTGAATAGACGCACAATGCATTAGCCTGAGCTTAATTTAGTATGGGCACTTTTGTACACCCATCCTGAATTAAATCTTGTCTAGTATATGTGCCACAATGATATCTGCAATGATATTTATCAGGGGCTTGGCAATATAAAGGGACATGTCTTAATGTCTTTCTTAATTTATTGTGCTGCAACAATTCCAAGGGTGACAATATTAAAATTAAAGACCAAAATCATTAAAAATTAATTGTTGCTAACTTGCCCATATCACTCTATATACAATGAGGGGAAAAAAGTATTTGATGCCCTGCTGATTTTGTGCGTTTTTCCACTAACAAAGAAATGATCAGTTTTCAATGCCCTGGCTGAGGGAAGGAGGTTCTCACCCAAGATTTGATGGTACATGGCCCCGTCCATCGTCCCTTTGATGCGGTGAAGTTGTCCTGTCCCTTTAGCAGAAAAAGACCCCCAAAGCATAATTTTGGTCTCATCTGACCACAACACTTTCACCCAGTTGTCCTCTGGTGGCCAGATGAGATCAAAATGGAGCTCTTTGGCATCAACTCAAATCGCCGTGTTTGGAGGAGGAGGAATGCTGCCTATGACCCCAAAAACACAATCCCCACCGTCAAACATGGAGGTGGAAACATTATGCTTTGGGGTGTTTTACTGCTAAGGGGACAGGACAACTTCACCGCATCAAAGGGACGATGGACGGGGTCATGTACCGTCAAATCTTGGGTGAGAACCTCCTTCACTCAGCCAGGGCAATTGAAAATTAAAAGTCATTTCTAAGTCATTACCAAGTACTAAGTCATGTTTTGCAGAGGGGTCAAATACATATTTCCCTCATTAAAATGCAAATCAATTTATAATATTTTGATATGCGTTTTTCTGGATTTTTTTGTTGTTATTCTGTCTCTCACTGTTCAAATAAACCTACCATTAAAATTATACTGATCATTTCTTTGTTAGTGGGCAAACGTACAAAATCAGCAGGGGATCAAATACTTTTTTCCCTCACTCTATGTAACATATGAATACGCTGCTATAAGAAAATGCATATTAAGAACCAAAGTAGCTATTGCATGAAATGAGATTTCTTAGATAACTTATGTTAACTGAAAAATCAGCACTGTCAAATAGAAGTTACCCTTACCTCTTATACAACAGAACAAATTGTTACAAAAAAAGTTACAGAGAACTATAAGACAACTTTCCTTCATGAATCCCCTGCTTTGCTAAGATAGCAAATACTGCTTCAAACAAAACCAAAAAGCTTAGTTGTTGGGAAAGTAGCAATTTCAGTGCAATTATGGTGTTTCCAGTGCCTTCACACAAAGAATGGAAGTCAGCTTTCACACCCACTCTGAGATCCGACAGAATCCGACAGCCGACAAAATAATTAATGTCTATGCTGTGATTCATGCTGTAACCTACATCTGTCTTCCATGCTACATTAAAAGGAAATCTTCATTTTAATTTCTAGAACACATTAACACAGTTTTTGCATCCATATCCGATAAAACGGGTTAATTTATACAATATTACTTAAGGCTCCACAGAATTAACCACTGAAAATAGGAACAAATAATGTAGCTTAGTTTGGGAGTGAAGGCTTTTCTATAAGACTATATGTTTTGCTCTTTGTGAAAAGATATCTTCTACTCACCCAGTCTTAAGGTTGTCGATGGCCTCCTCGACTCCTCTCTGATTGTTGCGCACCATAAATTGATGCATGTTAGGGTAGTTGCTGCGAATATTCTCTTCTGTGCTGCCATTTGGGACAGTTCCAAAGCGAAGTGGAGGGTACTGCTCTGTGGGCTGCTGGAACTACAGGCAAAAAAGACAGACATATCTGGCCCAATCTATGACTGTTATTCCTGGAAAAAGATTTTTTTTTTTAAACAATACAGCAGGGTTCAAAAGTCTAATTTAATTTAATTTCATTAAAACTAATACAGTTTTAGTCAAATTATATTTCTCAAACATGGTTATTGCATATAGGTCAAAAACCTATTATCTACTGAAAGCAGTTGCAAAAACACACAATCCATAGACAATCGGTAGAATTAATAGCAGGTGTTTTCTAGACCATCGCTGTGACTGAGGTTAGAAAATTTCATAGTGGCACTGGGATGATGGTACCTAATTTTAAAAAGGGGACCAAAAGGTGCATTCCAAGTGTAAGGGAATTACCCTACTCAGCTTCCCTGGGAAAAGTGTATGCCAGGGCTCTACAGAGGAAACTCCATGTGACCTGTGGAAAATAGGATTCAGAGAGGTGTCCACTATATTTCCAAATGATGTTGCTCTCTTGGCACAAACTGAGGTAGACCTCCAACATGAAACTGAATGTTTTGTTGCCAAGAGTCAAACAGGTGGGATGAAAATCAACATCTCCAAATGAAAGACCATGATTCTCTCCAGGTAAGAGTGGAATGTTTCCTATAGGTGAGGGGTTAGACCCTGCCCCTGGAGAAAAAATTTAAGTACCAAGGGATCTTATTTAGTTCTGGAAGATGAGAGTGTGAAAGTGAATTATGGTCAGGAACTGTGGGTTGTGATCAAAAGAATAAGGCCATGATTACAGGTTCCTCCAAAGTGTTCTGGGTATAATCTGCATGATAGGATATGGAGATTGGTAATTCTAGCGAGGCTTGGAGTAGAGCAGCTTGTCTTTTAAATCAAGAGGATCCAGTTAAGGTGGTTTGGCTACCTTATAAGGATGCCCTCTGGTCGGCTCCTTCTACAGGCACATTCAACTGAATGGAGAGACTTGGGCTGACCCAAGACCTGCTGGAGTGTTTATATTGCATAATTGGGTTGGAAGAGAATACTCTGTCGAAGCTAGAATCTATGACCAGTCTGGGGTGAACTTCTCAGCCTGTTGCCATGACAACCATTGAAAAGAAATTAAAAATGAATAAATATTAATCTCAGAGTCATTTTATCTGTCATATGCCACAGTATCCCACAGACAAAGCTAAATTGAAAAGCTTGTGGTGAGGTTCTGCAACCTCGCAAAGGCCCAGATAGAACAGACAAGAACACAGGCACCTTTTTATAAGGCACCTTTTTACACAGGCACCTTTTTACCTTGGTGGACTAGTGGCTAGTATGTGGTGCTGTCACCACTGTGGCCCTGGTTCGATTCCCAGTCAGGGAACCGACCCCAACCACTGGAGACTTTCATGAATCAGTGCAGTCTCAGTGTTGATCCCAAGCCCAAAATATGGGGAGGGTTGTGTCAGCATCTGGCATAAAACTCATGCCAGAATTAAAATAAGTGGATTATGATCTGCTGTGGTGCTCCCGAATGGAAGCAGCAGAAAGAGGGGGAAAAAAAGAACAAATAGAATATAATATTGGAATGAGGTTGGGTGTATTTATTTTAAGAACAGCAGAGATGCTCAAGATGTTCTCAATAGTCCAGTGGTATAGATTTGTGAGGATGGTATAGGGCAGACCACATTTCTTGAGCCTCCTTAGGAAGGAAAGTCTCTGGTGGGCAAACCTTGCCATCCGGTCCATGTAAGGTCGTCGGTGATGTGCACACCCAGGCAGGAACTTGAAGTTCTTTGTTTTGTTGACATTTGTTTTGTTGACATTGAGACAGAGGTTTCTGTCAGCACCACTGTGACAGCACTCTGGTCTAATCCCTGTAGGCTGTATCGTTTCTGTTGGTGATCAGGCCTAGGATGGTAGTGGTAGCAAAATTCAACACACAGTTGTGCATGAAAAAGGAGTACAGAAGTGGGCTGAACATGCATCCTTGTGGGGTGCTTGTGTCCAAAGTCAGTGTGGAAGACATGGAGTTGCCGATCTTCACTTCCTAAGGTCTTCCAGTCAGAAAGTCCAGAATCCAATTGCACAGGTGGTGTCCAGGCCTAGAGCATTACGCTTGGTGATGAGCTTAATGATTGTATTGAATGCTGAACTTTATTCACACAGCATTCTAACATGGGAGTTCTTTTTGTTAAAGTGAATGAGAACAGTCTGCATGGCTAAAGCAACTGCATCATCTGTAGAGCTATTTGACCAGTATGCAAATTGCAAAGGATTGAGTACATATGATTTTTGCTACAGTGCATATGATTTTTGCTACAGTCAGCACTGTGGGAGGGGTGTCATGTCGAATTTGGGAGGAAACTTGTACTCATTTGTCATATGCCTGCTTATCAAGCCCCCACTTTAAACATGAAAGAATGCATGTGGCCCAGAGCATACAACACAAAGTGAGATTACAGCAGAGCAACCAAGAGATTTTGCTCTTTTATCTGGATCCAAGTCATTTATTTTATTTTTTCATCTCATAATGGTTCTGTAATATCACAGAAATGGCAGCATTTAATTAGATCTCCATTAGAGTCAGATGTGGGCTGTATCTCACATTGCATAATACCATTGTCACGTAATGGAGGCACAGACGGATGTGAGTGCAGGTATGGTGGTTTAATAGAATACAACAATCCAAAAGAGCAGGCAGAAATCAGTAAACGGCAGGAGGTCAATCGATCAGGCAAACAGTCCAAAACCGGCAAGCAGATATACAATGCCAAGGATATAAACAAAGTCAGAACTAGAATAAACAAACATGATATAAAGATTGGATAATGACAGAGACAAGGCAACTGAGCATTTACTTCACAATCTGCTGTGTGTGTGTATGAGAGAGAGATAGTCTCTCAAAAGGAGGGTGTGGGTGTGTGTGTGATTGAGAACAGGTGTCTCTAATTAGAACTTTCAGTTCAATTAAATTTTATTTGTATAGCGCTTTTTACAACAGACATTGTCTCAAAGCAGCTTTACAGAAATATAAACACGGTATACAGATATTAAAGTTGTGAATTTATCCCAATTGAGCAAGCCATTGAGTGGCGACGGTGGCAAGGAAAAACTCCCTTAGATGTTTAAAGGAAGAAATATTGAGAGGAACCCGACTCAGAAGGGAACCCATCCTCATCTGGGTAACAACAGACAGTGTGAAATAGTACAGTATGGATGTACATGAAGTCTGTATGGCCTTCGTAGCAGCCACAGTCCCAGTAGGAGCAGCCACAGTCCCAGTAAACTCCGGGGACTCCGGGGAAGGTGAATGTGTGTGTGTGTGAGAGAAGTGTAGTCGTCTTCAGTCATCTTGGTGAATTCTGGGAAATGGAGTAACTGGCCTGTGACATGATAGAGCTGCCTTGTAGTCATTAGTTACTTTGAGTAACAATTCCACCTCATCATCTGTCCACACAAAGACATCGTTGCTTTTCCTCACCATCATGCTCATAATTGTACCTGTCAGTGACTAGCAACCAACTTCCTGTTGACATGCATTTTTGGTCAGAGATCATTTCTGACACTCAGTGGAAATGCCAGTATGGACGAGGATAATTTTCATTTTAAAAAACTGTTTTAAAACAAAAACACACTAGTGTAAACAGGGATCGGGTTTCTTGCAGGTTTGTGGTTGTCTGAGGTCCTTAGTCGAGAGCCAGACTCTGTCACCTGGTTGGTAATGTGGATGCTCACTGTCATGACGATCACCTTTCTGCTTGTAGATAGTTAGGCGTTGGTGTGTATTCTACTGGAACCACTGGGTGACAGCTGTGGAGTCAGTGATGCTGGTGTTCCAAGGGAACAGCGGTGGCTGGTAGACTAAGACACACTGGAATGGGGTGTGTTGCTGAGTGACACATGGAATTCTGGGCATATTCTGCCCAGGGGATGAATCTGGACCAGTCCTCTGGGTCAGCTGCACAGAATGTCGGGAGGAACCACCCTATCTCTTGGTTTGCCTGCTCTACTTGGCTGTTGGTTTATGAATGGTATACTGAGGTTAGATTGACGGTGGTGCCCATTTTGCTCATGAAGCTGCACCATACTAGTGATGTGAAATGTGGTCCCCAACCACCGACAATCTCCTCGGGCATCCCAAAGTATCGGAACATCTGTCCGAACAGCAATTCTGCTATGGTGAAGGCTGATGGGATGGATGACAGTGGGATGAGACGTAGATGGTTGTATTCCCTTGTGACACTGGAAGGTTGATGATGAAGTCCTCTCACATATCAGATGGTAGGTGCGTTGGTTGCCTGGGTGGCCTGTTGACCCGGCGTCTGGGCCTTTCAGAGGAGTTCTAGCCAGTGCTGCTCAGGCATGAACTGTTTCCTAGGAGGACAGGCAGCTGGGATCTGTGATCTTGAAATTCTTGCAATAGTTCCTTGATCTAACTCCCACTCAATGGAGCTGAGGATAAATGAAAGCGGTGTAATGAATTCCTTGAGGTTCTCTTTGCTTCTGGGCCGTGTAAGCGAGAAAGTGCCTCAGCCTTAATATTCGCGTGAACTGGAAACGAGAAGAACAGAGACCATCGAGCTTGACATGGTGTCAGACACTAGGCAGTGTGGAGATATTCAAAGTTCTTATGGTCTGTGAAGATGATGAATGGGAGTGCAGCTCCCTCTAGCCAGTGTCACCACTCCTCAAGGGCTAATTTGACCGACATTAGTTCTCGGTTTCCCACATCATAGTTCTGTTTTGTGAAGTTTGGGTTTATGCCCAAACCTCTGAGACAGAATAGCATCTACTCCAGTCTCTGATGCATCTACTTCCACAATGAAGGGCTTGGTGGGATCTGGGTGCTTAAGAAGGGGAGCTGTAGTGAACAACTGGTTGAGTTGTTCAAATGCTGCTTCAGTGGCTGGATTCCATGGCAGATGCCTTGGTTTGCCCTTATGCAGAGCTGTCAATGGGTGAGCTATGTAGCTAAATCCTCTTATGAAAGTCCTGTAAAGGTTAGCAAAACCCAGAAATATTCCACTCATCTACCTCTCGGATACGGAGCAGGTTATATGCACTGCAATGATCCAGCTTTGTAAACACTTTTGCTGATCTGAGCTGTTCCAGGGCTGTGGGAACAAGTGGCAAGGAGTAACGGTACTTGACTGAATAATGGTTGAGGCCCCAGTAATCTATGCATGGCCTGAGTCCGCCTCCCTTGTTCTCCACAAAGAAGACCCAGGCTGGCGCAGGAGACGTGGAGGGTCTGATGTATCCTTGTTGGAGCGCCTCCAGAATGTACTCCTCCATAGCTTGTTGTTCAGCCAGGGACAGTGGATACACTCTTCCCTGTGGTGGATTGGTTCCAGGAAGAAGGTCGATGGCACAGTCATAAAGGCGGTGTGCTGGACTTTTGACAGTGATCGTCTGTGTTTGACAATATGGAGATCAGCGTGAGATCTGTTTGTCTGTCCAGGAGATAGTAGGATTATGTTGGGCCAGCCAGGGAAGTCCTAGGATGATGTCGGGCAGAGACTATGATGTAAAGGGTGATCTCTTCCTTATGGAATGCACCGATCTGAAGGGAGAGAGGCTCTGTGCAATGTGAAATAATCCCTCCCCCAATTGGAGCTCCATCTATGGCTTGAATCTTTCATGGTTTAAGTAGGAGATGAACATGGATGTTGAGCTGGTGAGCTGTCTCGGTTAATGAAATTCCCTGCTTCTCCGATTAATGCTGTGTGAACAGAAGAGACCCCTGAGCATTCGACTATGACTGGTAAAATGAAGGCCTGAGAAGAGAGTAACTGGGATGGACTCACCTTTTGGGAGCGGGGTTGGGAACCCCCGCTCTCCTTGGTGTCCAGACGAGACTTGAGAGGGCACTGTCGGAAGAGATGGTTATTCTGTCCACAAGAGAAGCAACAAAACTCCCAACGACATCTCTCATCCTCCTCTTTGTTGAGCCGCACATGCCCCAGCTGCAGGGGTTCTAAGGTGATACATGGTGCAGTAAGAGCTCCCTCGCTCCAGGCTGTATGGCGTCTGTGAAGCAGGCGATCATGACGAATAGACAGGTTGATGAGCGAGTCGAGGGTGAGTTTGACATCACGCCATGCCAGCTCGGTCAATATTTCCGGGTTTAGTCTGTTACAAAACACATCTTTCAGCATGGGTTCATTTCGTTCACTTCTTGCAGTGATGGTCTGAAACTCGAAGACTTTTCTGCTATGCAGTGTGGACCCTGAGTTATGGTCAAAAGCTCCTCTCCCATTTCCGTGCCCTTGGGTGAGTGATCAGCTCCACCATTCATATGAAGCAATGGGCTCGCAACCTCGCTCCCATACCGCCGTCGCCCAGGTGAGAGCCTTGCCAGTTCACAGTTCCATGAAATGG